TGGAAGTTCATATAAATTAATGTCTTCAAGAACTCATGTTTTTGATAGAGTTCTAATTATAACCATAGATTTTAACTAAACAAATATTTAATTGTTTTAGATTTTTTGAAATCAGTAACTTTAAATAAAAGTTTTTGCTAATGCATTAAACTATCACAAAAATCTGTTTTCAGTATAAAAATAGATGCATTGCATTAGATTTTACAATGAATACAAAAACTACTCTGTAATACCAATATAGAGGCCACCTATCCACCAGTGTACAGACATTGCTTACATGAGCTCTATTTTTAGTTATTCACTGGAGTGTTATAAATCACTAGATTCATCTCAGTGAGTACTTTCATTTAATATATGACACATTTGGTTCTGTTTGTTTTTCCAGCCTTTATTGCTCTGGAATTCCACGGAATTCTGTTGGACTTTTCCAGCAGTCGGAGTATTTCATGGTGTTGATTAATGTCTTGCTTTGTAAGGTGTATTATACCACATTGGTCTTTCTTGACAACTGTCAGTTTTCGTGTTCTTTAACATTTATTTTGGTCATCTTTCAGGCTGTTTTGCAGGAATCTCAGATCTTTGGTCCATTCTCACTTTTATCACATTTTATAAGATATTATCACCATGTGTGGGCTCAATCCTATTATTATATCATCGCTAGTTAAAAAGTTATTACAATTTCAAATCCTTGGCCATATAAAGGCCATTGTCAATAACTCCAACAGGCAGAAGGTCTAGCTGATCCTAACCTGGGTCATTTTCCATCTGGCACACTATTTTCATATCATACTGAACAATTTGGAGTGTTTCTGACTGACTTCAAGTTTTATTCAGCCTTGGGTCTCTTACACCATGTTATTCTATTTGTTTATTTTGTGTTACTTGTGTCCTCACTCTCATTTGGACATGATGTCACTGAGCAACAATGATGCTTCTGTAAATGTAAATTTGCTGAAGAAGACCTGATCTCTTTAATCAACAATTATTTAGAAATGACCTTAAAGACCTCTCCAACCAGGGGACAATCGAAACCTGCAGCAACTATTCCAAGGTGTTAAGAAGGCCCTGCCCACCAAGCAAGACAACAAAATTAATAACTGAAAAATCAGAAAAACTTGAAAGAATTGAAAACCCTAAAAATGTTGGCCACAATATAATATTATCTGCTAATGTCACCCCAGACTAATCCACACTGATACCCAAGGAACTAATGGAATTAATACAAAACTGCATTGTTCCAAAACAGCTGGATCTGAGTATTAACATATTAGGCCCCTGCCAAATGGGGAACATCTGCATCCAGGTTCCAAAAGAAAGACACAGAAACTCTAAAAAAGGCATGGGCCTAATATGTTCTAAAATATAACCTAAAAGGCATAAAAATTCTGAAATTTCCCAGAAAATAAATGTAACAGACAGAAATAAAAAACTACCAAAGATCATCTTATTGAATGTACCAAATAGTACAAGCAATGGGGAGCTCCTCAGCACTATGCATCAACAGAATCTGATAGTCCAGGATCACATTTTGTCTGCTGACTTCCAAAATAGCTGTAAAGTCAGTCACAGCATAACTTCAAAGAGAAGCTCCTAATCCAGACATGTCTTAAATGGTTCTCCAAAATCAGAAATCTCATCATGAAAACAGGAAGAATCTTTATTGAATGGTGTCAACCTCTATGGATGATTACATATCTATAGTCAGATGCTTCCATTGTTTAGGATTCAATCACAATTCCCATGATTGTACAGAGATACAAAAGTGTAGCTAATGTGCTAGGAACCACAAATTCAGAATGCCCTCCCTAATCTTGGAAAAGTCCCAAAGTGCACTAATTGTGCAAAATATAATAAAACAGCTCTGGAGAGCAGGAAACTGTCAGAAGTGTTGGGGTCAGTTTTCAAAGATACATAAAAGACAGAAAACCATTCAAATTCAGACCATGCAATATGAATAAATTGGCATTCTTATTTCCTTCTCTGTTCACATTCAACTCCTCTAATGACCCCAACTTGATGCACTATTCAGATCATCTCCTAAAGCAATGGTCGGCAGCGGTGGTCTGTGAGAAAATTTGGGTGGTTCGTGGAGAAATTTGAACATTGATCAACTGAAGGTTACACGAAGTATTACAAAAGAAATGCAAAATGCTTAGTTGCTTTTTTCACTCATTGGGGTTTTTATTCAAATCTAAAACCAAAAATGAAGTGACTGTTATCAATAAATAATGAACAATAAACAATATTGTGAGTGCGATTGTCATTGTTCATGGAAAAGCGCGAAGAATCCATAAACTTGTTTCAAACAAGCAGCAATGAACTTTAGGCTTGCATTAATTTGTTATAATTAAACATGTGAGTTTCATATTAATATAGTAAAATTGAACTTTTATGATCATTATTCTACAATTTTGTATTGTTTAAAAAAATTCATGATAATGGTCTGCAGGATTCAAAATTGTGACTTTAGTGGTTCGTGAGGTGAGAAAGGTTGATAACCACTGCCCTAAAGGACAGTGGTTATCAACCTTTCACTCAACATTCTCCAAATCAATCTACAACACAGTAAAGCTGCATCAATTGATTCTCTCCAGACCATTTGGCAATATGATGCTGGCATTCTTGCTTTTCAAGAACCATATCCATAGGTTGCTATGTTAGGCCAAGTGAAAATTCTTAACTATATTGATAACAACAATCCCATCTGTACAGGCTTCTTGGTGAATACAAATCTAAAGGCCCAACTCCTCACCTACTTTGCAACACTTCACTATCATCAGTGATGAACTCAACTCACAACAGCTCTGTATCATCAATGTCTACTTGCCCCTCCAAGGATACTGCACTTTGCACTGAACTCCAAACTCTAAAGGACGCACTACTACTGATACCTTTGGACACCAAATCACCCTATTTGGCATAGCCCTACCAAAGATTCTAGAGGATATGCAGTTGGTAAATTTATCTTGGAACTTGGACTTCCAATCTTAAACAGTAGTACTTTACCTACTTTCTCCACTGATGAAGGAGAAAACTGGATTGACCTCTTCTTGGGTTATCAGTTTCTCACCAAGTATAATATTGACTGTCAGACCCTAAATCAAACAAACAGTCACCAGTGACCATAATTATATTTTGATGAAAATCTGCATCCCCTTCCCTGACTCACACATCAACAACAACAACTGGCTGCTCTTCAAAGGACTCAAGAAACTCTGGGATCCTACAGACTTAGCTAACTTCCACACTGAGGACTCTTTTGACTACACTGGCCTCAATCTGCAGGAGGCTCTGCATAAGGCCTACCATCTCTCTACTATGGTCAGGGCAGACAAAATCTCAAACTCTCTGATGGAATAGGAACCTGGAGGACAGGAGAAGTGTTTGCAAATTAAATTTCATGAAAAACAGACCAAATATTTAAACTCAACACCCTCAAAAACCACTTAAACCATATTTTATGTAGTCTGGTAACCTCGTATTTTGGATTTTCCTATTTGAATGACACTTTACCACTGGTCCAATAGAAAGAAGGGACTGTTGCTGAAGGGGTTGAAGTAATTCTAGAAAAGTACTCATTGACCTTCTCCTTGAAGAGAACCACTACTAATTAATACTGGTCTACTATTAATATTTCAAAAGTGATCTGTGTTAAACAGGTTGTGATGGTTCTGCATGTGATAGAGTTGCTAACCTTAATGTCTGAAAGTCTTCATATGACTTGTTTAAATTTAAAAAAATCTTGTAAAACTGTGAATTGCTTTTATGTTATACCTATGCAAAAACACTATCTCACCGAAAATTATTTATTCACCATAATGAACATTTTCATCCTTTAACTAATTTTTTTTAATCTATTTTATTATTAAATTGTATATATATATTTTTATTTTTTTNGTAAACGTTAGTGAACGGGAATTATTAACAATAATTAAAATATATTTTTTAAAAGAAACAAAACCACTGAGAAATGTTACATGTGTTTAACAAGGTTCGGAAAACTTTGAAAATGTTAACAACGGGTTCAGCCGGACCTGTGCGAACCCGCTGAATATCACCACTGCTCATGGGTAATGTGCCAAAGGGAGGGCTTTCATAGAAACTGACCCTATTTAGGTGTTAGAAAAACCAGAAAACTCCACTTGGCAGCTTATTGGTGAGGCATGAATCTGTACTACTATCTATAAAGAAATAATTCCAAATATCTCAAATTTGCACTGATGGCATTCTACAAACTTTATTATATATACTTCTACAGTTTCTGCTAAGAATAAATTGTATGGAATGGAAGGTGTATGCATTATTTTCACATTCTTCCAATCAGGCATAATGCCTTCAGTGTTTCTTATTTAGGTAACAAAGTTAAAAATTCCTTATCTAAATTTGGAACATAAATTCGTTATTGATACATATATCCTTATTGCTAGAAATCTCCTTCCTTTGCATTCAGAAACAAAATTTGTATCTGTATCTATATCACTATCATTAATGGGACATTCTATGTATTGTTTAACTAAAACATTACTTTCCAATCAGCTAAGATTACCTGTTTATTCATCCCCATTCTTATGAAGGCTCCTTTCTAATGATAGGGCTATATGGAAAAATCTGGTGTGTACAGTATACCTCTCAGCAATATTATTCCATATTTTACATTGTAACCACCCATGTACACACCTCTCCTTTTAATGCTCTCTGGTATGTTAAGCATTGCATTAGTCATATTTAAATCTGTTCTATGTAATCATGTTTTTTTGAATGTTCTGAAGAAGCTTAAATGTAACAAGCAACAATTAAATGTTTTATTTTGAATTTGTGTATTGTTGGTCATGTAAACTAATTTGAAATATTTGCAAATATATATTTTATTTTAAAATCATTTTGTAGACATTTGCTTGCAAAATAATGACCCAGAAAAATTTTGTCTATATGAAAGCAATTTTATTGATACAGGAAATTTTATTATGCTTAACTTCTTATTAGATCGAGTTTTCTTTTAGGTTTTCCTGTCGACTTGTGGGCTTTAGGAGTCTGCCTATTTGAATTTCTGACAGGAATTCCTCCATTTAATGATGAAACACCAGAAGCAGTATTTAAGAATATTCTTAATAGGGGTAATTTTATTCATTATTACATTTTTATAAAAAGTGTACACTTCTTATAAATTTAATGTGCAACAGATATTCCATGGCCAGAAGGAGACGAAGAACTATCTTCAAAAGCCAGATCTGCTATAGAACTACTACTGACAGTTGATCAGAAAATTCGTCCAACTGCAAAAGGTATATTTCTAAAACAAAAATTTATTTTTGATAGAATTTTATAGTACTTACTTATTTTTTAGATGTAAAAAATATAGAATTGTTTCGGACAACAGATTGGGAGAATTTGTTATTAAAAGAAGCACCTTTTATACCCATACCAGATGATGAGACAGATACAACATATTTTGAAGGTAAGATTAATAATTTACACATTTCACATACTTGAAGTATTTATAAATATCATTTTCCATTCCAGCTAGGAATCACAACCAAAACTTAAAAGTGTCAAATTTTGAATTATAGGAGTTGAGATATTTTTGCAATTATTTAGAAAGAAAAACAAGAAAAAAAAATCTTTATTTATACAAGTTTTATTTGCTGTCATATACATAAAAATTATTTCTTTTTTCCTTGCATGTCATAACCTTTCACATACTTCTTTGGAATTTTGTATTTATCTGCAAAGACAACTATAGTTTAGAATCAAAAAAACATATAAACTTAATTACATTAAGGTTAGCTCACCTAATAATAATTTACTAATATATTTCACTTGATTTCCTTGTACAAGAACCTGGACGCCCTTTTTCCCAGCAGATTCTCCGACTTTGGTGCTTGCCGCTACACCCAGTTGTATTTCGTGTGCAAACTTTTCTGCGTCTATTTTAAATTCATCTAAATAATTTATTAAGGTCACCTAACAAGAAATAAAATATTATTATTTCTTTTACAGTAGTGTCTTATTCATTTGATATAAGAAAAAATTTTGCTATGTCACAGAAATATCAAGATTTTAAATTTTGTTTGCATCAGATAAGTAAGCCGGTTTTTAGTTCTTATGTGATATTAGTTATTTTTTTGTATAGCAGAGAGATGCTTAAATTATTAAAAATTGTTATTTGTTGCATTAAAAATTTATTTTATTTTCTGAAAAATAAAGTTGATTACTGTAGAAAAATTTTGAGTTTTTTCTTAAAAGCATATAAACATGGCTAACCAATACAATTTTGTTCCTAAATATCCCTCTGTGAAGTATTGTTTCTTTTCTTTAGATTATTTATATTGATTGATTGGATACTATATGAAAGTTGGTTAAATATATATACAGTGGAACCTTGCTTAACGAGCATAATTTGTTCCACAATTGTACTCGTAATGCAAAACAATTTTTTCCATAGAAATTAATGTAAAATATGATAATGTGGTCCACACCAAAAAAAATACTCAAATATTTTATGTATAATATTTATTCAAAGAAAATTGTACAATATGCATTGTTAAGGAGAGTGAATCATCATCTTTTCTTCTAGTGCGGAATGAAAATTTGATTTGCAGAAAACAAAAAAAAAAAAAAATCACAGATATGTTTGATAAACACTCCAAACGATATNACCTCTAGTCAAATTAATTAATTTCTATTATTTAATTATAGCCTTCACATAGTTCAAGAATTTGGCATATTGTTTGGCATGTTTATTATATAATGGGCTATGATTGTTGATGTTTAAAAGTAATATGTGTGATCACAAGCGACACTAAGATGCTAGTAGAACGAGTGCTAAACACAGACTGATGGATCATGTGCACAATTAGGGACTCTCTCTCTCCTTGTCACTCATTATGTGAGGCAATTTATTACAATTTTTTTTGCTCATTAAGCGAGGTTTCACTGTATATCATGTTTAAATCTGAAAATATTAAAAAATTGACATATCAATAGATGATATTTAATAAAAATCCATAGTATATACTACAATTAAAAATATAATTTTAAGTTAAAATATTTTTAATTAAGTTAGCAGCAATGTAAGAGCAGTTTCTGGAAGAGTAAGACTAGAAAAGACAATCTTAGCTTCAGATTAAGTAGTGAGTTATAGAAGCTGAAATGTTTAAATTTTGTTTATCCTCAGGAAAAGACAAAAATTTTGGAACTTAATTTGATTTTGAACATTCATGATATATATCAGGTTATGGATGTTATTGTATTAGAGTTACTGAATGATCTATCAGATTTTTATTGGGCTATTTTGAGTTTAATTATGGTTTATTTAATCATGAGATTGGCAGCCTAACTGCCTACCTCTAATCAAATTACTTTGTTTCAGATTATTAATTAGACTTTCTATAAAATTTGGCCGGCGATGCCATGAGTACAATAAAAATATTAACTTGTACTGGAATTAGAAAGAATTAAGCAAAATTATCACCTTTTAAATATTACAGCAAATAATTTAATATTGTAAAAACATTTTCGATCGTCTTTAATGATCTTCATCAGTTAAATAATAAAGTAAAAAGAACATTAAAGAAATAGAACTTAAAATTACGAAAAATCTGAGTTTTTTGATGTAATTTCTTTTTAAATTCCTCTCTATTAATTAGACTTAAAATAGCCCAATAAAAATTTGGCAATCACTTGGATTTTGAGAACATATTTTAAAATTTTGATCATTAGAATTATGTATTTCTAGTCAAGACATAAAACTACTTCAATGATTTGATTCAATTTATGCAAAGAATTTAGCATGGGGAAAATAAAATTAATTACATCATATACACAGTCCAGTCACATTAATGTGACCACCTGTCAAAAGCCAGAATGGTCCGCAAGGACATATGTGTACTTCTGTTGATCCGTTGTGCCTTCCACAATGACAAGTGCACTTGGAGAATGCCACGAAAACATTCCCCAGACCATAATGCTCCCTCCTCCAGATGGACCCTTGCAGCAATTGTTGCAGGGTGTTTGCTTTTAGATGCCTCATGCTGTATACGCCAACATCCATCTGTCCGATGGAGCATAAAACGTGATTCATCGGAAAAAGCCACCTGTCACCACTCAGTGGACGTCCAGTTGCTATACTGGTGTGCAAATTCCAGCCTTTGTCGCCGATGAAGTCAGCATAGGTACTTCAACCAGGCATCTGCTGTGAAGGCCCATACCAGTGTGAGGTCTGAAAGGCCCCTGGGTCTAAAATAGTAATTTTATTAATAATGTTAATATTTTGTTATAAAATATTATTTCGTTTGGGTGAGAAAAATAACGTTTTAGAGTGGGAAAATTAGATAACAGATGCTACTTCCTTCTAGGGAAGTTAGTACATCCTCTGTTTTTATCTGCGAAAAACCTCGCTTTGATGGGAAATGTTTACCCCTCACATATTCCCCTTTCGTCCGTTCCCACGGAAGAATCTTGCATGATGATTGGTCGCCAATCATCAGATATAGCGGAAATTTATCAGAATTCAGGGAGTTTGTCGACAGACATAGAAGAGTCAGGACTCCATACATATTTGCTCTTAAAGGCCAACGCCTATACTATGAGCCATACAATATACGAAGGATTGAGTCTAGAAATACACCCAGTTAAGTTGATCTCTCCAGAAGAAAGAAGACAGAGAATTCGAGGAATGAACAAATACTTCATATACAGAGCCGAAGTTTAAAGACAACGATCAGGTTGTATGTCCTTAAATGATTTTGTGAGCTCTCTCTCTCGATCGCGTATCGGTTAGATATAAGTCCATATATCTCTCGACATATAGATTGTAATTTGTAGTCATTGTCTCTTACTACCATATTATTTGTACTATTTTTATTGATTTATGTTTTAATTAAATTTATTCTGGTTTATTTTATAAAGTAATGTCTCTCAATTATTATCGGAATAGGATTGCCCCACGCGTGTTTATCCGCGTGTAAAACAACCGATAAACTGGTGTCGGGACCCTGATGTAAAGGTGATATCGCCATCACCGACCTCCACCTTAAAATTTGGCTTAAGTAAAGACCCTCCGCCACTCGTTTCTCTACGTTCAGGAAAGGCCGTTCTTGTAGATGACAGAGAACTAGTCTTGCCGACTAGCTGCCTAGTAAGTGATACAGGCGTAACAACCTACCCTGTACCCCAGGCTGATCTCACAACAGCAACATTCACTGAACTGTTGTTGAGGAGACAAGACACTTTTGGTAGCTCTTTGGTTCATCTGGGCAATTAGTTGTCAATGGTCACATGTCTATTTGCCCAAACACATCTCTGCAGCCATCGTTCACCCCAGTCGTCTATGGCCCATACATTTGCCACATCGCTGATTTTGGATAGTGCCATTTTGCCACGCACGGTATATTTTTACCACGGCGGCAAGCAAACAGTTTACAAAATTAGCTGTTTTGGAAATGCTTCCATCCTTGGCCCGGAAGCTGATGATCATACCCTTTTGGACATCGGATAAATCGCATCATATATCCATTACGCCAATGATTGCAATGTGTTTCGCTTACCTCATATACCCTCCACCACAATGTGTTCCTACCTGCCACCTGTGATTAGTCATTTCATGTTGATGTCGACAGTAAGGGGTGGTCGGGTGGTCACATTAATGTGACTAGACTGTGTAATTTCAACTAAATAAAATAAGAAAATTAGATTTTTTACAGTTTTTCAGATCTTGAAAGAAAAATAAACTTTCAAAGCCTCAATATTGTTCAAAGTCTATAAGTCAAAAACAATATAACAAGAAAAATTTTCTCATGTTCACTTTGAAAGCATTTCACATTCATAAATTTTACCATTTTATTTGCTGAAAAAGTTTTGGTAATAAACTATATTTTAGGAAGTTTATTTGTTCTGATTTTAATTAGATTGAGTGAGTTTTTTGGGAAAAATGTTCCATATCATTCATTGCAGTGATTCTATGTTAGTCATCTAGATACCAGCACTTGCACACTTGGTATTCATTACTTGTTGTAAATAACATGTATTAAGTAGATAGTAAGAAATTTATACTGAATATTCAATTACTGAAACTGATATTTGGAATTTCTACTTAATAGAAGTTTAGCATCACTCCAGTCAAATTGATGGCTTTTAAAGAGTTTCTTTTGGCATTTCAATAGATAATGTTACTGATCAGGAAAAAGAAAACAAAAGCTTAACTTTGTTGTAATAATTTTTCAAGTTAATCAGAAAGAAAAATTCTTCATAGATTAAGAAGTAAAATAAATGCAATAATTACCTTTTTATTTCCTGTTCTCTGCTCAACATTTATTTCAATCTGGTTTAATTTACCTTTCTTGAAAATTGGTGGCTGTCCTGGGAAGATTATTTCATGGGCTTGTTGCATTTTATTTAGACACCTAGTTTAAATAATATATAAATTCCATTAAACATTTATTTTTATTTTAGAACATTAAATATATACATTATATATGTAAGTATCATGCTTTATGGTTTTATTTAAAACCATTCTTGAAGTAAATTCTTATTTCTCAAGCTTACAACTTATACTGTAATAATTTTGGAAGTTCATATAAATTAATGTCTTCAAGAACTCATGTTTTTGATAGAGTTCTAATTATAACCATAGATTTTAACTAAACAAATATTTAATTGTTTTAGATTTTTTGAAATCAGTAACTTTAAATAAAAGTTTTTGCTAATGCATTAAACTATCACAAAAATCTGTTTTCAGTATAAAAATAGATGCATTGCATTAGATTTTACAATGAATACAAAAACTACTCTGTAATACCAATATAGAGGCCACCTATCCACCAGTGTACAGACATTGCTTACATGAGCTCTATTTTTAGTTATTCACTGGAGTGTTATAAATCACTAGATTCATCTCAGTGAGTACTTTCATTTAATATATGACACATTTGGTTCTGTTTGTTTTTCCAGCCTTTATTGCTCTGGAATTCCACGGAATTCTGTTGGACTTTTCCAGCAGTCGGAGTATTTCATGGTGTTGATTAATGTCTTGCTTTGTAAGGTGTATTATACCACATTGGTCTTTCTTGACAACTGTCAGTTTTCGTGTTCTTTAACATTTATTTTGGTCATCTTTCAGGCTGTTTTGCAGGAATCTCAGATCTTTGGTCCATTCTCACTTTTATCACATTTTATAAGATATTATCACCATGTGTGGGCTCAATCCTATTATTATATCATCACTAGTTAAAAAGTTATTACAATTTCAAATCCTTGGCCATATAAAGGCCATTGTCAATAACTCCAACAGGCAGAAGGTCTAGCTGATCCTAACCTGGGTCATTTTCCATCTGGCACACTATTTTCATATCATACTGAACAATTTGGAGTGTTTCTGACTGACTTCAAGTTTTATTCAGCCTTGGGTCTCTTACGCCATGTTATTCTATTTGTTTATTTTGTGTTACTTGTGTCCTCACTCTCATTTGGACATGATGTCACTGAGCAACAATGATGCTTCTGTAAATGTAAATTTGCTGAAGAAGACCTGATCTCTTTAATCAACAATTATTTAGAAATGACCTTAAAGACCTCTCCAACCAGGGGACAATCGAAACCTGCAGCAACTATTCCAAGGTGTTAAGAAGGCCCTGCCCACCAAGCAAGACAACAAAATTAATAACTGAAAAATCAGAAAAACTTGAAAGAATTGAAAACCCTAAAAATGTTGGCCACAATATAATATTATCTGCTAATGTCACCCCAGACTAATCCACACTGATACCCAAGGAACTAATGGAATTAATACAAAACTGCATTGTTCCAAAACAGCTGGATCTGAGTATTAACATATTAGGCCCCTGCCAAATGGGGAACATCTGCATCCAGGTTCCAAAAGAAAGACACAGAAACTCTAAAAAAGGCATGGGCCTAATATGTTCTAAAATATAACCTAAAAGGCATAAAAATTCTGAAATTTCCCAGAAAATAAATGTAACAGACAGAAATAAAAAACTACCAAAGATCATCTTATTGAATGTACCAAATAGTACAAGCAATGGGGAGCTCCTCAGCACTATGCATCAACAGAATCTGATAGTCCAGGATCACATTTTGTCTGCTGACTTCCAAAATAGCTGTAAAGTCAGTCACAGCATAACTTCAAAGAGAAGCTCCTAATCCAGACATGTCTTAAATGGTTCTCCAAAATCAGAAATCTCATCATGAAAACAGGAAGAATCTTTATTGAATGGTGTCAACCTCTATGGATGATTACATATCTATAGTCAGATGCTTCCATTGTTTAGGATTCAATCACAATTCCCATGATTGTACAGAGATACAAAAGTGTAGCTAATGTGCTAGGAACCACAAATTCAGAATGCCCTCCCTAATCTTGGAAAAGTCCCAAAGTGCACTAATTGTGCAAAATATAATAAAACAGCTCTGGAGAGCAGGAAACTGTCAGAAGTGTTGGGGTCAGTTTTCAAAGATACATAAAAGACAGAAAACCATTCAAATTCAGACCATGCAATATGAATAAATTGGCATTCTTATTTCCTTCTCTGTTCACATTCAACTCCTCTAATGACCCCAACTTGATGCACTATTCAGATCATCTCCTAAAGCAATGGTCGGCAGCGGTGGTCTGTGAGAAAATTTGGGTGGTTCGTGGAGAAATTTGAACATTGATCAACTGAAGGTTACACGAAGTATTACAAAAGAAATGCAAAATGCTTAGTTGCTTTTTTCACTCATTGGGTTTTTATTCGAATCTAAAACCAAAAATGATTTGACTGTTATCAATAAATAATGAACAATAAACAATATTGTGAGTGCGATTGTCATTGTTCATGGAAAAGCGCGAAGAATCCATAAACTTGTTTCAAACAAGCAGCAATGAACTTTAGGCTTGCATTAATTTGTTATAATTAAACATGTGAGTTTCATATTAATATAATAAAATTGAACTTTTATGATCATTATTCTACAGATTTTGTATTGTTTAAAAAAATTCATGATAATGGTCTGCAGGATTCAAAATTGTGACTTTAGTGGTTCGTGAGGTGAGAAAGGTTGATAACCACTGCCCTAAAGGACAGTGGTTATCAACCTTTCACTCAACATTCTCCAAATCAATCTACAACACAGTAAAGCTGCATCAATTGATTCTCTCCAGACCATTTGGCAATATGATGCTGGCATTCTTGCTTTTCAAGAACCATATCCATAGGTTGCTATGTTAGGCCAAGTGAAAATTCTTAACTATATTGATAACAACAATCCCATCTGTACAGGCTTCTTGATGAATACAAATCTAAAGGCCCAACTCCTCACCTACTTTGCAACACTTCACTATCATCAGTGATGAACTCAACTCACAACAGCTCTGTATCATCAATGTCTACTTGCCCCTCCAAGGATACTGCACTTTGCACTGAACTCCAAACTCTAAAGGACGCACTACTACTGATACCTTTGGACACCAAATCACCCTATTTGGCATAGCCCTACCAAAGATTCTAGAGGATATGCAGTTGGTAAATTTATCTTGGAACTTGGACTTCCAATCTTAAACAGTAGTACTTTACCTACTTTCTCCACTGATGAAGGAGAAAACTGGATTGACCTCTTCTTGGGTTATCAGTTTCTCACCAAATATAATATTGACTGTCAGACCCTAAATCAAACAAACAGTCACCAGTGACCATAATTATATTTTGATGAAAATCTGCATCCCCTTCCCTGACTCACACATCAACAACAACTGGCTGCTCTTCAAAAGACTCAAGAAACTCTGGGATCCTACAGACTTAGCTAACTTCCACACTGAGGACTCTTTTGACTACACTGGCCTCAATCTGCAGGAGGCTCTGCATAAGGCCTACCATCTCTCTACTATGGTCAGGGCAGACAAAATCTCAAACTCTCTGATGGAATAGGAACCTGGAGGACAGAAGTGTTTGCAAATTAAATTTCATGAAAAACAGACCAAATATTTAAACTCAACACCCTCAAAAACCACTTAAACCATATTTTATGTAGTCTGGTAACCTCGTATTTTGGATTTTCCTATTTGAATGACACTTTACCACTGGTCCAATAGAAAGAAGGGACTGTTGCTGAAGGGGTTGAAGTAATTCTAGAAAAGTACTCATTGACCTTCTCCTTGAACAGAACCACTACTAATTAATACTGGTCTACTATTAATATTTCAAAAGTGATCTGTGTTAAACAGGTTGTGATGGTTCTGCATGTGATAGAGTTGCTAACCTTAATGTCTGAAAGTCTTCATATGACTTGTTTAAATTTAAAAAAATCTTGTAAAACTGTGAATTGCTTTTATGTTATACCTATGCAAAAACACTATCTCACCGAAAATTATTTATTCACCATAATGAACATTTTCATCCTTTAACTAATTTTTTTTAAATCTATTTTATTATTAAATTGTATATATATATTTTTATTTTTTTGTAAAGAACAGTTATCAATATTCCATGATTTTTAAAAACCTGAAAATGGCTTGTAGAACAAATTGAAAATGTTCGTTAGGTTAATAAATAATTCCCAGTGAGATCAGGTGTTTTTGCATAGGTTAAGAAGCATCTAGCTGGGTATTAATTATTTTATGTTATAATAAAGTGTTTATATTTTTGCAAAAGATTGTATAAACTATGTGGGAAGTATGTTCTCATAAATATTGAGTTTATAGAAAAACTATTGAATTGCAAGTTGAAAAAATTGTAGACCTATAAATTTCAACTGTTATCCATCTGTCTGTCCTTCCTCAAACTCAAGAAAGGAGTTAGATATGTGAAAATCAAGACCAAATATAGAAAACTTAGGGGAGGGAGGCCCAGATTAACTATATAGGAACTTCAGATTTAGAATGGATGTCATGTTACTTTGATTCAAAATTTTCCCCAGAACAAAGATAGATGACTGGCAAAACTCTTGTTAACAGGAAAAGTATAACATACAGGGGCAAAACCACCACTAAAATTCGAGAACATTGTGATGAACCCATGACTAACTACTAGAGTTCAGTAGTCTTATGCACTCGGCTACCAGAGGGCACTTATTAGAATTAAGAAAATACTGTTCAGAAATGAAAAACTCGCATCATTAGATGTGGAAAATTAAACACTTATACATGATGTGGCACCAAAATCCGGACAAAATTCAATTTCAAATTCCTGCCGTTCTAAACCACTGGTAGATGTCGTGTTTGACGTTCAAATAGCTTGACACATGTACTAAACCATCATAACCTTGAAACAGTTGCAATGTTGAAACCAAGTGTGAAGTATAACTGAAGAGCCATGATTATCGAAAGTGTTTGCACTGGGCGCTTGGCAACAGAAATCATTCGGTTCTTTGGGTACCCGAGATCACCTGTATATGATGTTGTCACAAAGTACAACGAGTCAAAAACACTGCAGGGCTGACTCGTTTTACAACACCGGCAAGGAAAACTCACTTGAAGAGTGCATTGTCAGGACACCTGAAAGCATCTAATGGGCTTAGGAGCTGATTTTTGAATATCCAGGTCAGTCGATCCAAAAATTGTCACCGGTTGTTGGTGTGAGTGAGAAAACTATGCATAGAATCATCAAGCAGAACCTCCGCTACAAGTCTTACACAATTAAAGTGAGACAGATGCTTTCCAAAGCCACCAGGTCAAGGCGAGTTGAACGCTATAACCTGCTTTTGTGTTCCTTAGAGCCGCCGCAAACTAGTGCTTTGCGAGAGCAAAACGCTAGCAAACATGCGCTAGCACAACCGATGACGTCAAAGGCTCTGCCCCTTTCTTCTTTCCTGTGTAGTTTTCCTTTGCTAGCGCAGTGATATAAGAGTACACTCACTGTTCACAGAATTCAACAGCTAGAGCAGTCATGCTAGCAAGAGAGAGCGGGGAAGATGGATGACTACATGAACATGTCACAAGTCGAAAAAGAAATAATAGAATTTTATCGATATATGTAAATTACATAATTAATACATTCAGTATTGAAAAGAAACAGTATAAACTTTGTATGTAAATAGTAATATATAAATAGTTTTCGGCTAGTTAAGCCTAGTTAGGCTTAAACATGTTTTTCCTATGCTGTTTCAAAGTTCAGAATGAAAACTGACTGATTACAAGTACAGGTTATGACAAAATCTTATTCTATAGCCAATCCACATCTGTGGAATCCACGTCATGTGGATTACGTTACGCGAGCAAATATGTAGTTTGCGGCTGATTCTTGTCCATGCAGCTTACCTAGCAAAAATGGCTCATGGCCTCGTGGAAAAAAAGGCGGGGCTTGGGAGTGCGACTGAGCATACGCTAGCTCCCGCATCCTGTAGTTTGCGGCGGCTCTTAAGAAACAATGCTGCTGGACGACTCAGGTTTTTTCCTGACAAGAAAATTTTTACTGTTGATGTGAAAATCAATTGAAGGAATGACCGTTGGCTCGCCCACGACCCTGAAGATGTCCCCATTATTGCAAGAACGAAATTTCTAGCAAATGTTCATGTGCTAGGTGTTGTGTCCAGTGAGGGTGATGTCATGCCACCGTATTTCTTTAACAAAGGGAAAAATGTCACAAAAGAAGTTTATTTGCATGTTCTGACAAATGTAGTGAAGCCATGGATGGAAACTGCGTCGTCTGGAAAGTTGTATGTTTCCCAGCAGGACAGTGCGCCTGCCCATGACCAAGAATGGAGGTGGTCATTCAAGCAGGAGGGGAATATATTGAGTAAATGTATTCTTTATGGCCTTATAAACAATGTGGTTATAAAAAAATTTGTAAACCTTTTCGTTTTTGCAATAAAAAATATTCTACTGGGTACAAATTACAAATAGACGTGCTATATAATTACTGTGACAGGTAACATATAGCACTTGCCTGCATGCAATCGTAAGTATTATCTTGTGAAAAATCTACAGGGTGCGGATTTTGGCAACGCACCCTGTAGATTTTTCACAAGATAATACTTACGATTGCATGCAGGCAAGTGCTATATGTTACCTGTCACAGTAATTATATAGCACGTCTATTTGTAATTTGTACCCAGTAGAATATTTTTTATTGCAAAAACGAAAAGGTTTACAAATTTTTTTATAACCACATTGTTTATAAGGCCATAAAGAATACATTTACTCAATATATTCCCCTCCTGCTTGAATGACCACCTCCATTCTTGGTCATGGGCAGGCGCACTGTCCTGCTGGGAAACATACAACTTTCCAGACGACGCAGTTTCCATCCATGGCTTCACTACATTTGTCAGAACATGCAAATAAACTTCTTTTGTGACATTTTTCCCTTTGTTAAAGAAATACGGTGGCATGACATCACCCTCACTGGACACAACACCTAGCACATGAACATTTGCTAGAAATTTCGTTCTTGCAATAATGGGGACATCTTCAGGGTCGTGGGCGAGCCAACGGTCATTCCTTCAATTGATTTTCACATCAACAGTAAAAATTTTCTTGTCAGGAAAAAACCTGAGTCGTCCAGCAGCATTGTTTCTTAAGAGCCGCCGCAAACTACAGGATGCGGGAGCTAGCGTATGCTCAGTCGCACTCCCAAGCCCCGCCTTTTTTTCCACGAGGCCATGAGCCATTTTTGCTAGGTAAGCTGCATGGACAAGAATCAGCCGCAAACTACATATTTGCTCGCGTAACGTAATCCACATGACGTGGATTCCACAGATGTGGATTGGCTATAGAATAAGATTTTGTCATAACCTGTACTTGTAATCAGTCAGTTTTCATTCTGAACTTTGAAACAGCATAGGAAAAACATGTTTAAGCCTAACTAGGCTTAACTAGCCGAAAACTATTTATATATTACTATTTACATACAAAGTTTATACTGTTTCTTTTCAATACTGAATGTATTAATTATGTAATTTACATATATCGATAAAATTCTATTATTTCTTTTTCGACTTGTGACATGTTCATGTAGTCATCCATCTTCCCCGCTCTCTCTTGCTAGCATGACTGCTCTAGCTGTTGAATTCTGTGAACAGTGAGTGTACTCTTATATCACTGCGCTAGCAAAGGAAAACTACACAGGAAAGAAGAAAGGGGCAGAGCCTTTGACGTCATCGGTTGTGCTAGCGCATGTTTGCTAGCGTTTTGCTCTCGCAAAGCACTAGTTTGCGGCGGCTCTAAGGAACACAAAAGCAGGTTATAGCGTTCAACTCGCCTTGACCTGGTGGCTTTGGAAAGCATCTGTCTCACTTTAATTGTGTAAGACTTGTAGCGGAGGTTCTGCTTGATGATTCTATGCATAGTTTTCTCACTCACACCAACAACCGGTGACAATTTTTGGATCGACTGACCTGGATATTCAAAAATCAGCTCCTAAGCCCATTAGATGCTTTCAGGTGTCCTGACAATGCACTCTTCAAGTGAGTTTTCCTTGCCGGTGTTGTAAAACGAGTCAGCCCTGCAGTGTTTTTGACTCGTTGTACTTTGTGACAACATCATATACAGGTGATCTCGGGTACCCAAAGAACTGAATGATTTCTGTTGCCAAGCGCCCAGTGCAAACACTTTCGATAATCATGGCTCTTCAGTTATACTTCACACTTGGTTTCAACATTGCAACTGTTTCAAGGTTATGATGGTTTAGTACATGTGTCAAGCTATTTGAACGTCAAACACGACATCTA